GCTCCCAAATTTCATTCACAATGCTTGGGTATGCTTTTCAGGCACTTTCAAATTTGCTGCACACTGAGATCAGCTCCCCCAGGCTGATAAGGTCACCTTCCTGAAAAATCAAACATGGTGAAATTCAAACCTATGTCTGATGGACAGAAAGTGAATATTGTAATTACTCAGTCACATGCCCATATATAATCCAAAAATTCTGAATTTAAAACGTTTCCCTCTGTGCTTCATTTCTGTCATATGGTTAATAATTAATATGTAGTAAATGTTTATTGTACTGATTATATTGGTACTCTTTTGTCTGTCCTTGTTTTATTAATTAACCTATTTTATATTTTATATATATATATATATATATATATATATATATATATATATATATAATTGCATATTTGGGCAGCAGTCCCACTTTTATACAAGTTTCATTAAAGATGACTGACAAGGTGCTGTGATTAAACTTTTTATTTAATTTTTTCTTGCATTCGTACAAGGGTTTTCTTCCCTGGACATAAAGGGTGTAAAAACTATCCAAATGTTCAGCATATCCAAGTGCTTTCACTTAATCTATTAGCCATTATCAAAGATAATTTTTTCATTTTTAACTGAATATGTAGTTAATTAATAGTTAAAAATAGAAAAAAATCCTTGATAATGGTGAATAGAATAACTGAAAGCATTTGGATATATAGAACATTTTGACAGAAAAGAAAACACTTATATGAACAAAAGAAAAATGGAATGAAAAGCTTAACCACAGTCCCTTGTCTTTAATGAAACTTGTGTGTGTGTGTGTATATATATATATATATATATATATATATATATATGTTAACCACACACACAAATTTACCAGACTTCATCCAAAACATACTAGTAGAAAATAAAAACATAATAACCTCATCCACATGTGAAAGAAAGGTTAAAAATAATGGAAGCCTTAATAATAAAAAAGAAAAAGCCAACACTTAATATTAACTATGAACATGGCCAAAATATGCTGTGTTCTGAAAATAAAACATCCCTATAACTCTAGAAACATACACACAACCCATACACTGAGTTAAAAAGCAAAAATAAAATCATCCTTGATAATGGCTAAAAGTATAGCCAAAAGTACTCAGAATTACAGAACATTTGGACAATTTCTACACACACTGTGTCCAGAAAAGAAAACACTTGTTCAAACACAAGATAAAAATAAAAAGATTAATTGCAGTACCTTGTCTTTTGTCTTCAATGAAACATGTATAAATGAAGGATTGCTGCCTAAATACACAATATACATATATATATATATATATATATATATATATATAGTGCAATGTTATTGACTATACTGAAATATAAATATTGTGATTGGATTTCAGATTGTATAAAAATTATATTCCCTATTTATGGTAATATTTGATCATGAAAAAATTCAGGAATTTGTTTGTGGTGTATTATAAAATACTGAAACCTTTACTTTGAAATGTTGTAATTCTATTGCTGGTATTTTTTTAAAGTACTAATCTGAATTTATACCTCTATAGAATTCAGTATTATTTATGTCTCGTTTATGTATTTCAATGACACTTTTAACTTATCAAGTCATCCTAGTTCAGTGTCTTGCACCTGAAATTTACAACATTTGAAAAGCTTTTAATATTTTGAGAAAAAAATAAAAAGCTTGCAAAAGAATGAAAATTAAATGTTGCTACATAATTATTATAGTTATTCTACTAACTTTAAAGTGGTACAAAATCCCACATGTGATGAAGCTGGTGAGAATTGAACCTATTACACAATAGTAATAGAATAACTCAATAACTGTTACCCCTACAATTTGATGTACCATAACAATAGTCATGATTTGTTACATCAACAACTTCAGAAGTAAAATGTTGAATCTATTAGGTTGATATAAAATTTTCCAATAGAAATATTTTTTTAAAATATTTCTGTCATATAAATTCAAGGTGTTACATTATTTTCCCCGACTTCCTAGGTCTTTATGATATACTCCAACTAAAAATTCTATTCCACTATTGTGGGTTACCCAACTTGGATTTGCCAAAAATGCCTGTTAGGGTAGCACTGTTTTGGTCTATAAAAAATCAAACATTTACTTCATTTTTCTTTTTCATCCAGATGTAGTTGAATGTAGATAAAGAACTTTGCCACTGGGGGTGCATTTGCTTCCTTGATCCTCTGTTGACTGAACTCTTGCACACACTCATATACACACACACTTGTTACACATACACCAACACACACAAACAAGTATATTCTTATAGTTTTTTTCCTTTAATTTCAATTATGTACACATGTAATTCCTTTTGTTAATAACATGCATTAATTTTTGTTTGTTTTAAATTCCATTTTTTGGGGTCTTATTTTTACCTGGACTCACATGAGCCTGCCAATATTTTTGTGAGAAAAAATGTTCCAAGAGCCCAGAAATATTTACTATAAAACATCAACACATTTGTATCAAAAGATTTAGGTTCCCACAACATCATTAAAGAACAATTCTGCTTTTGATTTGCTCTATTTTACAAAAAAATGTTCTATGCCTTAAAATTGCCTTGACAAGGGATGTTGCATGAAACAAAACAAGTGATAATCTGAAAAGGACAAATCTGCAGAATATTTTACATACAGAAGAACTTCCTATTCCATCTTCATGGTTGCTGCATTGTATTTGCAATATACAGATAGAAGTTTTCCTGCAACAAAATTACGAATTGACTTCTTTTCTATTCCAATGCATTATTCACATACAAGTTCAAATACACATACAAATACAAGTTGATTGTTTCTGAATCATCTTCCATTGCAAGTTCATACAATCCATCAGTTTTCAAGTTCTAACATCTTCCACATTGTTCTTGAGCTCAGCCCTTTTGTAAACTTTTCAATCCCTTCATTACACATGCTTGCATCTACATCTTCTAGCATTTATTGCTTAGCTTCCAATGCTTCTAGAAGAGTATAGAGAGATTTACATCCTATAATTAGCTATGATGCTGTTCAAAATAAAATTATCACTTTTCTGCACTTTTCTTAAAAAGTATGAACAAACTTCTAAGATTTCTCTAACATCATGCCAAAAAAGATAGCGCTGAAAACTTTTGCATCAAACTAATAAAAGAAACAACAGTATAAATAACACACAAAGTTAACCTTACATTTAAATATGACAAAAAAATGTTTTATAGCAGGAAACTATTACTATTGAGTTTCCAATATCTTCAGACCAAATACAAACTGGATCAGCAAATCATGAAAGTTCACATTACTGTTCAGCATTGTTATAAAAAGTAAAAGTCTACAGCATAAATTTAAAGATGAAAACCAGAGAAAGAAGTATGTGAATTGTTCATTCTTTGGTATTTTACCTTTCTTTTTTCATTATTAATCTTTGTTAAGTGAGAATATATGGAAAAGATTTTACACTCCTCTTTGAAAACATCATTCAGTACAGATATGTACATTTCAAATGATCAAGGACAATCATTTGAATATTTATTGCTATTGATTTTTAAAATAAACTGCTCTCATGTTTACACAGGCACCTTATAAAATGAGGGCTAGCAAGCTAGTCTGGATCAATTCATATAAATACTTCCATGGCAACTGTTCAGATGAACTCTTTGTCAAAATACCTAGACTTTAGGAATTTAAGTGCAGTACTTGACTGGTGACAAGGTCTTACCAATATGGAGTTGAGTTGGCTGGATATAATGGTAAGTTCTATGCCAACAGTTTATTTTCTTGCATTTCTCAATTGCTTTCCAGCCAACTTCAAAAATGTAAATGTAAATGCAATGTCAATCACTTTCTATTGTCTTCCTGGTTACTCTTCTTTTGTTCTTGCTCTTTAATAAAGTTTCTGTTTTTTAATTCTTCCATACCCAGTAACTTCATGGGCATTAGTAGCTTTACTGTCTTGCTTGGGGTGAAATTGATTAAAAAAAAGTTTTTTTTTTGTTTTTTTTTACAGCTTATCAAAATATATTTAGATTGTAAGAATTTTTTGGTAGTGATACAAGACCAACTAATTAACCCATAGCTAGGGGAGAAGAGTTGAATTTATATCTTTCCTAAGTGGATATGTGTATGTGTGTATATATATATATATATATATATAGCTGGCCACTCGTATTTGACTAGCCAATCCCTATTGCAGACGCTTGCTCAGGCACATTTGTGTTTGTTCAACACCCACAGACCTGTTGTTTATACTGCAACTATGCTGAGCAGACCTTAGTTACAGTTTCTGGGAAAGAGCATGTTATCTAGCATTATCAACAATTTGAACAAGGCCAGCACGCTTAAACCCTTGGCCAAAACAACTTGTGACTTTGTGCTTGCACAGCAATTGATGGCCACCAAGAGTTCTGTCTAGCCAATTTCACTCACAAGACTTGAGTCAACCCATGCTATAATTTTCAGGCACTTTTCAAAGGTGCTGCACGCTGGGATCAATCCCTCCAGTCTGATAACATCAGGAAGTCTCCTTCCTGATAAACTGACCATGATAAGATTCGAACCCGGGTGACATGGTCAGAATGCAAATATTCTAACCACTCAGCCATGTGCCCAATATATATATATATATATATATATATATATGTGTGTGTATATGTGTGTGTGTGTGTGTCACATGAAATGGACAAAGTCCAACAATTATTTTAAGACATTTTTATGTTTATACATTCTTTTTATAGATACAAATATTTAAGTAAATGCGCTGTTTATAATAAACAGTATTAAACAACATTTACTGGCCTGAATGTCTGAGAAATTTTCATAGAAAATATTCGTCCTCTGAGAGGAATTGAACCTGTATCCTATACGGAACTGTCATATAGCCTGACATGCCTTTAACCGCTCCTCTGTGGTCCAATCGGTTAAAGGCACTTCAGGCTATATGACAGTTCCATATCGGAACTGGAACTCAGCTCTCAAATTTCCAATTCTGAGCAGTTTTCCATTACACAACCTGCATATCCAAGCTTACAGTACCTGGTATTCCCAAGCAGTCACCCATCTAGATACTGACCGGGCTCAGCATTGCTTAACTTTAGTGATCATATGAGAATTAGCATCAGTGTTTCAATGTGATATGGCTGTATGCTGTATGCTGTGAGCTAATCTGGTTGATCATTATGACTAAGTAATAAGTTCAATCCTTACTCGGTGCCCAATACTTTAGCTTTATGCCAAACTAAACTAGGCTTAGTAAATAGTAACTCTATCATGTCACGTTTACAAGTTTGGAGTTTGGTTAATTACAGCATAGTTCTCCTTTTTTATTTGCAAATAATAATATAAATTTCTATAAAATTATAAAGTAGAAGTTAAGTTTAAAAGCTGTTTTAATTATTTTTTCTTTCATCTTATTTCACTTGCTTTTTATTGCATCTACCAATACAAACAACAGAAATATGATGTTATAAAGTCAAGTTAAAAATTTAAAACAACAATGCTTTATATAAGAAAGTTGAATAACTTAAGAATTATGTATACCAGTACTCAAAAAAATAGGAAGAATGATTATTAAAAATAACTAGTATATAATAATAGACTATATGACTTTTTCTGCTTGTAAAAATAGACTCACTCCTTGTCAAGTAATTATTTGTAATCTGATCTCGTTTTTAATGAGTAATGAGGTAATCCTTTGTTATGTTAATAATAGGCATACTAAGTCCCCCTAAAATTGATCAAACATTATGTTGCCATAACAACAAAATTTTCAGAAACATTTAAAATTTCAAAATTATAAAAATTTACAATTAAAAATAAAATTAAATCAAATAACACAGTAACATGGCATTACTTCTTGAGACAAGAAAGATCTTGCAATCATAATACAAGAGAGCATTTTCAAAAATTTATTTATATATATATATATGTGTGTGTGTGTGTGAGCTTCTATATGATTGTTGAAAAGACAGATGACCACTTGTATCATCTGCTGAAATAGCTTATTCCCCACATGAGGTAAAAAGAAATTTTCTTTGGTTATTCATCATATTGCTCTGTATAAATAAAATACATTGAGCTCTCATTTTGTGGATCAATTTTAATATTTTTTTTATTATTAGACCCACTTGGATTATACACACATGGAATTTATTTTACCTTTACTATATAGCTCAAATTTTATGTGCATGTCTATATAAAACATTGAAAATTAATATCGATATAAATTTGGTTGTCTATCCAAGTGTGTGTGGGTATATGTGTAAATATTCCATTAAACTGTAACATGAAATCAATATGGTTTTTATCATTTATATCTAGTCTTTAATCATTTTACTCGAAGCAAGGCAATAATGCCATTTAGATGCAAGTAGTTACTGAGTGTGAGAGAATAGGAGAAAAAAAAAACTATATTAAGGAGAGAAAATACTAAAAGAACAAGAATTAAGAAGACAAAAGATAATTACTGACATTGCATTCAAATTTTTGCAGATTAAAGTTGACTGGAATGCAAGAAGCCAGAAGAGATTTCCACGAGCAAAAAGTGTCAAAAACAAAACTTATCATAGAATTTATGGTTAAATCTAACCAGGTGACTGTAAAATGATGAGATCTTGTCACCAATTTAGTAGTATGCTTAAATTCATAAAAGAGAAAAGCTCATTAGAACAATTACCATAAAAATACTTATAGAAAAGAAAATATTTATATGACTTATATCATGCCCAATTTCTTGCTTAATGAAAATAACAAATTTTCATATTTGAAAGACAAATTTTAAAAAAAGGCTACTGTTTTACTATTCATTTCCAAATAGGTCTTTTTGGATCTTTATGAATAAATAATTGTTTTATTGATGGCTTTTGTAATTAAATTTCTGAGTTATACTAATAAAGCCATTTTCAACTCAGAAAAGTGTAAACATCTTAGTATTTAGGTCACCAAAATTTTATCTTTCCAATGTTCATCCAGTCTTACTTTTAGTGCTTGTTTTGTTTTGCCTTGTCTTTGACTTTCCTCTCACAACTGCATGAGATTGAATATATGCAATTCTTAGTCAAGTTCTCTTCCTAAAGAGACTTTCTTCAGAAGAGATGTCTTCAAAGGGGTGCAATTACTTTTGAATACTGTCCTGATGTTGTGTGGACCATAGACCTTCAGAATCTTTCCTCTCACAACTGCATGAGATTGAATATATGCAATTCTTAGTCAACTCTTCCTAGAGAGACTTTCTTCAGAATAGATATCTTCAAAGTTGTGCAATTATTTTTTAATACTATCCTGATGTTGTATGTTCCATAAACCTTCAGAATCTTTTCTGACATGCTATCAATGCAAGGTAGATAGTGGCAGTTTTCCAACCACTGTCCTTGACCTTTATATCCCAGATCATAGAAGCTGATGTTATGCTTGCAGGAGGGTTGTTAGTCTGGAGGAGTTTTTTTAATGCTGATAATCTCCAGTTGGTATGTGTCAGATTTGCCACTTATAAGTTTTGTTCAATATTGTACCCATACAAGCAAAAAGTAACCAAGTTCATTTCCCAGTGATGAGTAATTTTTAAGAAATAAAAAACTTTTTCATGTAAGGTTCACTGATAATATATGCTAGTGAAATAATCCAGTGGAACAGTCTGTACAAGGTTCTAGAAAGTGAGAAGAAAAACTAACAAAAACAAGGCACAGAAAATAGAGAAGAGTCAGAGGAGAGGAACTGAAATATGTTTCAAGTCTCAGATTGTGAATCCAACTGTGTAGAGTAAGTATTACAAAAATATTTCTACCCAAACCAGCATGAATAAAAAGAGATAGATACAAGTTAGCACCCAGGGTGGTACTACTTGCTTTTAATACAATTTCCCAAAGAAGAAAAAAAAAATGCACTGAAATTTGGTTCAAGGTTTGAAATGGATTTGGGAAGTAGTTGCTTTAAATTCAGGGATAGATTATCTCAAGGTTGAATCAAATTATTATGCATTTCAGAAATCAAGGGTTGAGTATTTTATAGCTGAATAGATTAATTCAGATTCTGGTGAATTTTGTAAACAGATTTTTTTTTAATGGAAAGTTTTTATTTAAAGTTTTCTACATTTTTTTGTCTGGAATTAATGGTGAACAAACAAGTTTTCAATATATGGGGAAATGCTGAAAAGTTATCAGTATAACCAAGAAATGGACAAGGTCCGACAATTTATTTTATTAAAGACACTTTTATGTTTAACGTTGTTATTTATAGATACAAGTATTTAAGCAAATGCTCTGTTTATGATAAACAGTATTAAATAACATTTACCGGCCTGAATGTCCGAGAAATTTTCATAGAAAATATTCGTTCTTTGACAGGATTCGAACCTGCATCCTATAATGGAACTGTCATATACGCTGACGTGCCTTGACCGCTCGGCCACAAAGAACCTTACGGTAGACAAGGTCGAATTTACTGTTTATAAACTCCAATCTTCCATGAATCTCGTACATTCATAACTGCTCTGGCGTATCGAATGTAAACAAATGACGTCATATGTTAAGAAATGGGCAAGGTCCGACAATTTATTTTATTAAAGACACTTTTATGTTTAACGTTGTTATTTATAGATACAAGTATTTAAGCAAATGCTCTGTTTATGATAAACAGTATTAAATAACATTTACCGGCCTGAATGTCCGAGAAATTTTCATAGAAAATATTCGTTCTTTGACAGGATTCGAACTTGCATCCTATCTGGAACCGTCATATCGTGGCGTGCCTTGACCGCTTCGCTCCAGAGCAGTTATGAATGTGTAAGATTCATGGAAGATTGGAGTTTATAAACAGTAAATTCGACCTTGTCTACCGTAAGGTTCTTTGTGGCGAAGCGGTCAAGGCACGTCAGCGTATATGACGGTTCCGTTATAGGATGCAGGTTCAATCCTGTCAAAGAACGAATATTTTCTATGAAAATTTCTCGACATTCAGGCGGTAAATGTTATTTAATACTGTTTATCATAAACAGAGCATTTGCTTAAATACTTGTATCTATAAATAACAACGTTAAACATAAAAGTGTCTTTAATAAAATAACCAAGAAAACCTTCTAAAAATATCTGATGTCTGCTCATTTAGTCATATTTGGAGAAGAGAATCAGATCAAGAACTTTTCAATACCTCTTGTTATTTACAGTGTAACCCGGAAATAAGAGAGATTCCCTCTGGTCCCAAATTAGAGCCTGTGTTAATGTATATAAAATAGACCAAACCCGGATATAAGAGACTTCTTCTCCGGTCCCGACAACTCTCTTATATCCGGGTTACACTGTATTATTTTTCCTAACATATAAGGTGTACTTTTTAAATAAAAGATTATTATAAAAATCACTTTGTGTTTTATATCTAAGTGGTTAAGTTACCAATACTAGACTAACATCTACAGATCTCTATATAACTCTATATGACCTAGGATGAAATATATAGCATTATAAATGATTAAATTCTGATTGACAAACAAAATAATTTAAAAATAAAAGTTGTATATACATCAGTTAACCATCATTAAATTTTTATAAACTATTCATGCATATTATATTATATTCTGTAGTAAATAATAAGAATATGGTATATAGACATAAAGGGGGTGCTGAAAAGTTCTTAGTTTGACCTACTTCCTCAAATATAAGATTTGTTTAAGAATATCTTTTTGGTCAGGCTGAAACCTTTTCAGCACCTCCTCATGTGTGTATGTGTATGTATAGGTGTATTTTTCATTAAATAATATAGACGTATTATGTTTATTTATTTTTATAATAATCCTTTCTGGTTCTCTAATTATCTTCTTGATGTTAAGTTGAAATTCATCAAAGAAGACACCATATTTTTTCTTAACCCAAGTATTTTCGATCTCCTCTGAGATCATTCTCAGAGGTGAATTACGAAGACAAACTTAATGTAACTGTAATCATTGTAATAGTGATTCTGTGAATGTGCTCTGCTATAATTATTTTAAAATTAACAATTGTCATTACAATGATTTGTAAACTAGCATTCCCAGTCCAAGGGTGATAACCAGAGATGGTAAAATTGCAAAATGGTAAATTTCAAAATGATGTTAAATGTTACTCAACTCAAATGCATTTTAAAACATTGTCACTATACTCATAATAAATTTTGTT